GGGGGGGGGGGGGTGTCTCTAATACTTTCAACAATAAAGATAAATTAAAAAAAACAACTAATGCACCCGTAAGTGTAACAAAAAAATTTAAAATAAGTACAGCGTCGTACATTTCTCTGTTTAGTCACTGACTGGTTTCTTTCGTCAGCATTTATAATCCTCAGGGTATAGTTTTGTCCATGTTCTGTTGCAGCGAAGCCTTTGGTTTTATTTCTGACAGTGACTATGAATGGTATCGTGCTGTTCGTTTTGGTGTCCGTGAGTTCAGTGCCTCAATGTAGAAATACGATTGGCTTTGAAGGAAATTTAAGAATTGTAAGTTGATTTTACAATATGAGATGTTTCTCCCTACACCAATACGTTACCATCAAGGCTTCTTAAGTCGTGGCTCAGAACAGTTACAAAAATAATTTTAAATACTTACATATAAAGGGTTTTTGTGTGCGCATTGTGTTTCCCACGCAAGGGCGTATCCCACGTGTCAGCTCTGGGGGTCGTCTCACAGCTCCGTTGACATAATTGTGTAGATAGTTGTGTCACCTGCAAGCGGGCGATTGTGTTTCACACTCTCCGGCCCCTCTGTGCTCGTCTGCATTTCTCAGCTGGCCGGACCTTCCAGCAGGACTGGGAAGGAAAGCGGCCAGGCGGCCCTGGGCCGCGTCCCCACCGGAGGGGGGCGCTCGGTTCGCCCCCACGCGTGACGTCAGCCGTGGGGTTCGTGTAGATCCTGTCGGGTTGGGGGGCCCCCACGCGTGTTTCACCGAGAGGTCTTTTCGTGGTCGGCTGTGCCCCCTGACAAATGCTCTTTCCTTCCGTGCTGTTTCTCTGCGTTCAGCCTTTATCGATTTCCGCGTTTATCTTTTCTTTCTTGCCTTCTGTTTGCTTTAGGTTGACTTTATTCTTATTTTCTAAGTTCTCGAGATGGGAGCTTGGGTTATGAATATGAAATTGTCCTACCTTCTAGTGTATTTTTAGTGCCATTACTTTTTCTCGCTGCCCTGCTTAGCTGATTCCGAATCCGTAGCTCCTGCGCTGTGAACTTTATTTAGTCCAGTGTATTTTTCCGTGTCCCTTGCGACTGCCTTTGACGCATGGGTGGTTTTGAAGTGCGTGGCTTAGTGATTGGCGATTGTCCTTTCATTTTTCTCTTCTTATTAGTTTCTATTTTGATTCTGCAACCTACCGAGACTGTAATTAGGTTCAGCACCGCGGCCTGCGCCGCGAGCGGGAATTTCTCCCGGGGGGACGAGCGTTCGGGCTGACTTCCCCTGGCATCGGAGGCTTGTGCTCAGGCTAAATTAAACCACACATCTGTACACAAACTGCTTAATTAGCAGACTTTAGGTAAAATACCAATGGGTAAAGAGCCTCTTTGACCTTTCAAGCACTGCTAGTAGAGTTTTATGAATATCGCCGCACGCGTCCACTCACCCAGAGACCTGACTTCACCACATTAGCGTCTGTAAAGACATCCAAACCCAGTGAAGTGTGAAAAACATCTTAAAATTCAAAAGATCGGTCCTGAAATCCAGAGAGTAACATCAATGTATCTGACCTCTGCTCAAGGTCACGACTGATTATTGGTTATTACGCTGCGACTGGCATGTTTTCTTTTCAAGGGTCACTTGGGTTCATGTCAGGGAGATTTTAAGAATAAGCTCGTTACCGGTGAGATGAGACAACCCGCTTCCTAATAATTTAGGGGCAGACGGTAAACTCAAAAGCAGGCGCAGTAGCATCTGGTCTCACGTAGCAGGGATGAGGCGACTTCACTTCGTTTGTTTTCTCTTTGGGGCAGCGATCATCTGGCTCCTTCAAGAGGAATATTCTCAAAAACCGTCGACGCGCAAAAACTCTGGCGATCGGTCGGAGCCGCTTAATTACCTAGCAGAGCGCCTTGTGTGCAGATCGTGACATTGTCCAGTCTTTGATCTCAAGTAAATATGCCGCCGTGAGAAGAGGGACCGAATGTGGTCCTCACACTAACTTGCGCGGCCCATTCCTGCTTTTTAACTGTGTTCCTCTGTTTCTCTGAAACCCAGGCTCTCGGGGTTCCAGCTGCCCTCGTCCGTCGTGAGCTCGGGGTCCATCCTCACGCTGTGGTTCACCACCGACTTCGCCGTGAGCGCCCAGGGCTTCAGGGCCCTGTACGAAGGTAGGACCTCGCCGGGCCCGCGCCCGCCCGCCGCGCACCGGCTCCCCTCGCCGCCCTGGGCCAGGGTGTCAGTGTGACCGCAAAGCCCAGGGGACCCAAGGGGGTCAGCGTTCGGATTTGTGCGATGCATTGGAGATTGAAGAGCGCTATTTGCTCTCATTGCCAAACTTTTGAGCACAACACGTCTGTTTATAATTTTCCTTTATCGGTGGAGAGAAGTTTGGGGAATTTTGAACGCTAATTGACAGCACGCCTTTTCCCTGGAGAAATATTCTTAGCACAGATGAGTCCTCTTAAAATGTCGTTGGATGATAATACTGGCAGTGCTTGAGTCAGGGGAGTTCTTTTAAATGGATTTTTGTTTTCAAAGGTGGAACTGCTCCTTGAAGAAATTATTTTGATTTTACCGTTTGGTCTTCGCCGGGCCTCCGGGTTGCGCTGCGTTTGTTTTCGTATTTTCAGATTTGCGTAAATGCCGCAGTGGGTCTGTTGTTTCACAGAGACGTCTTAAAATTTATCTTATGTGTAACACGAAGGCTATTATTTTCAACATATGTAAACTCCCGTGAATAGATAAAAGACCCGGGCGGGGTTTAGGCCAGTCCCTGTTGGCAGCACCCACCTGTGACGCAGGATGTCCCGGGCCCAGTCCCGTCTCCGGGCCCCGGCAGGGCTCCCTCGCTGTGGGAGGTAAAGTCTGCGTGTGATTCCTGCAGCTGCATTGGGCTGCTGTGCAATCGCCAGACCGTGTGAGGCAGGCTCTCCTCTCTGTGGCTGCTTAAACAAATCAGTTTTTGGTGTGTTTTTTTAAGTTTTATATGGAATGATCCTTAGGAAGGGCAAATATTCTGATTTCAGTGTCCTCCTGGCCACGGTGTTTTTGTAAAAACCGGCACCCGTGGCCTGAAAGGATGAATCATCTTTAGGTTCATCATTGACTGTCAGGGAATAATTTAATGTTTGGAGAGTAACAGGCTAATTTAACCTTAATAGGTACTATTCCCTTTCCAGTTGCCTTGTATCTGCCACTTCCCATGTACCCTAACTTCACACACTTAGAAGAACAACTGTTTCTAAGGCAGCGTGTCCTCGTCGCCTGGGAAACCTGCCTTGTCCCCCCATCGCACGTGCCCTTTGCTGAGAAGGATGACAGAGCTCCCGCCCTCGGGAAACCTCGGCGACCTCCTCCCCTTCCTGGTGGAGTTGGTACTAGAATATCCTGTTTGCCCGTTTTCCTAAGATGAACGTAGACACACTGCTGGTGAGCGATGGACACAGGAGCGATTCCGTGGAATCTTTCTGAGCTGTCGCTGTTGGGTCATTGGTTGTCATGATGGGACAGCACAGAACTATTGGGGAGACTGTCTCTGTTAGAAAAATATTTATGTTTCTTAAAAAAATATTAGAGAAATGACTTGAAACGTGAACAGGACCGTAAGTTAAAGATTTTTTTTTTTAAGACTTGATATTTGAAATGCTTTTATTTTGAAATTTATATTTAAATAGTGATGTTAGACTATAGTCTCTTTACAAGTAAATGCAAGCCTTTGTTTTGAAAGAAAAAACCTAATTAAAAGGGCTTTGTCAGCAAAACCAAAATTGTATAGAGAATTTAATATCAGTATTTTTAACTTATTTCTCAATAGCTTAAAGGTCTCCTGAGAAAATGAATGTGTCCTATCTGGAGAAAAACCATAATTATAGTCTAAACAGAAGATTAAAGACTAGAGAGAATTTATCCAGAAGAGAGTGAAGCTTTCCCTGTAAGCAGCAGCTGACTGATAATAATATCAGTTCCCACCATGAGTTTAGAGACAACTGTGACACACCCAGGCAGTGTCACTATAACAAGTGAGATATTCTTACAGAGTGTATAAAATATGCAACTATCCCTAACTAAATATAATATAAAGCAGAACCAATGATAATTGTCAGAAAAATATCTAAAATTATTTTGAAACCAACGCATTGAGCCATTTTGATGACTCAGGTTTCCTTCTTTCCCATTAGGTTTTATTTGGATGGGACTGTCCATCAGGTAATTAAAAGAAGCCAAATAACACAATAAAATGTTGACTTCTTATCCAAGACATCTGAAGGAAATTTAATTTATATAGAAAATACTAAATCAGCATTTTAAAAAATAGTTTACTCCGTCATCTAGAATTTTTTTCTTCCAATTAAAATGAGAATTTATTTAATATTATCAGATTGATATTTAATTTTTATTTAAATTTATTTGTTTGAATTGGAGAAAATCTTTCAACCTTAAAATCTGTCTAAACACTATAATCTTGGTAATAAACAGTCTGGAGACTGAACTTTTTAGATTTCTGGCAGTACTTTGGAGTAGTTAATATTTACATGAATTATTATTCATACTTGAAATATTAATCTACCTAATGAGTAGGGAAACAATAAATTAAAATATTCTAATTCCTGTGTTCAGACATTGAATTTAACCCTGAAAATCAAATGTGAATATTTATTAATTTCACACTAACTTACTAAATATGAAGCCCTTCAGGGTCATAGCTAGTAAGTGTATAGATTGCTGATGAAATCAACATATTTTTACCCATAAATACAGAATAATGAAATTGAAGTTACTGTCTTAATAGGGTGTTTCGTAGTAGTTTCATCAATACACATTATTCTTTATGGTAAACCAAAGAATTTATATAATTTTCTTTGATAAATTTATAACAGAAAATATTGGGATTGCACATAGTTTCCAATAAGATGGAATACTATCGAAATTCCTGTATTTGTCCAATAATAAGATGCTATGTATATAAGCAGCATCTATTTCTGTATTTCTATTTGTTGACCTTCCTTCCTCAAGATCTCAATTACTAAAAATATATATATTTATTTTTTCTTATTAAGTTTATGATATTAAAAAAAACATGTAGGTCAGAAAATTGGCCTGACGTCTCGACACACAAGAAGTTACAGTGAACACGCGTGACAGGCACGGTTATCGTTAGACTTGAGGACAAAGAGGACAGATCAGTGTGGTGACCTGTGTGTGTCTAGAGATTGTGCCCCAAAGAACCTGCCCCCTGCTCCCTTCAGTGGTTCATGTTTTAAAAGAGGGTTGATCAGCTTCCTAATCAATCTTCTTATTAGTGACACAGCGAACCGAGTGTTACAGACACCAGCGAATATGTGACGAAATCCCTCCAACTTCAAACGTGGGTCACGTTGATTCTGAAGTCTGATTTATTTTTAAATATTTCTTTTCTTAACTCACGTCTTTAATTTTGTCTTGAATTTCATTTCAAATGTTTCACAATCTATTTGGTAATTTTTTATACATTGACCTTTCATAATTTAAGGTCATGTGTTGGTTATATGTTGCAGGAACGATTTACCATAATTTAGGTTCACGTTTTAGATACTTTTTCAGGTGAAATGAGTTTGCTTTGACGCTGATTGGATTTTTATAGTCTTTGGTGTGAAATAGAATTTTTGTGTATAATACAACTTCGCTTTGGATAGGAGACACCTGCTCTGTGCGTCAAACAGTGAGTCATGTGTGTTCAGCAGAGCCGGTGTTTCCCTGAACAGAACGCTCCTCGTGGCCGGGCTGGCAGCTCGGTTTCTCTGATTAGTCGGCAAAGGCCTCGCCCAGGGAATGGCAGGTTTTATGAAGAAACTGGAGTGAAAACCACATGCGCGTTTTGACTTAGAGATTCACTTTGTCAGGAATCTTTCGGCTCGACAGAAGGATGGCAAAATTAGATTCTTGTTTAAGACAAAGCTAAGAAACAAAGGGATCTAGTCTCCTTAGAATTTCTTTTGAAATGCTGACTGACATGCTATTTAGAAACAGGAAAAAAATTAACCATAAATGTAGAAGTCAAACATGTTGATCAAAAAATACTGATTTTACACCCTCAACATTTATCTCAGCTTCCTAAGGTGCCATCTTTGAAGATATTTGCCTTAAATTTTATACATGAAATCAATAGAGCATTAAAATCTATTTTAATTTTTTAAAATTACTGGAGGCATAGTGAGGGGGAATTTGACGTTCGTCAATAGCAAACATTTGCTTGTTTCAGAAACTTGGCTCAGGAGACTCCCCTGGGTTCTAAGATGCTCTTGTAAAAACTTTTCTCTTTCCAGTTTTTTTTAATCTTAAAATTATTCATCCTCTCAATCATGACATTATGTTCTGCTTACTAAGGTATATGTACCTTTGTGGGTGAGAGGTACTAAGATATAGATAGATGATAGATAGATAGATAGATAGATAGATAGATAGATAGATAGATAGATAGAGATGAAAGATGATAGAGATGATGCGTCTACAAAGGTATAAACTCTCATATCCATTTTGTTATTAATTCCTCACAAGGTTTCTTGGAGTGAAGTAAAATTACCTAATATTGCCAGACAGAGAAGGGGAGGGAGTGACCTACCACAATTTAATTTGCAGGAGCTCAGAGCTAATGAAAGTGGGAGCAGAAATTAAACAGGAGTCTGTCCTCCCAGAGGTGGTCATTTTAACCAGTCACCATACAGCCTCTCATCTGCATGTGTGTCTGTGTGCACAGGTCTGCCAGGTCACACGTGGATGCATGCCTACGTGCACGTGTGCACATACACATAATTACATGCGACATGCATGTACGTCTAGGAACCCACACCCACCGTCTGTGTGGAGGTGTCAGTGAGCACCGGCCTGGCCATTCATCGTTTCTCTCGTTCAGTTTCTCGGCTTTCGGGAGCACCTACCCCAGACCCAGTGAGAGCTAAGGGACAGGCACAGAGGTTGAGAGGTGCAGGTGCTGAAGGGAACAGGGAGAGACGTCGGTGCTGATAGTAGCAACAGCTCCAGGACAAGAGGGAAGGTCGGGTGGCCCTGGGGCCAGGTGGAGGTGGTGAGAGAATTAATGCTGGGCTGTGTCTCCCAGGATCGCTCAGAACAGTCCCGTGCTGGGTGCTGGGTGCTGGGTGCTGGGCGCCGGGAGCCGCCTTTGCATCAGAGC